TATACCACAAACAAAAGGAAGCCATTAAATTTGTATAATACCGTACAAATTAACAACTTAATTTTTTAAATTTAAATTGTTTTATCTTTGAATTGCAAATTTTTTTCTTTTTTTTTACTTCTTAGTATGGCTCAAATTATCGATGGCAAGGCTATTGCTGCCCAAATTCGTGCTGAAATTCGCCAAGATGTTGAAGACTTCATAGCTAAAGGTAATCGTAAACCTCATTTAACAGCCATAATCGTTGGCGAGGACCAGGCCAGTGAAACTTATGTTCGCATGAAAATGAATGCTGCCAAAGATATTGGCATTTCTAGTGAGACTAAACGTTTGCCTGCCAATATTACCGAACAAGAACTTTTGGAATTGATTGATCAATTAAATAAAGATACAAATGTTGATGGTATCTTAGTACAATTACCCGTGCCCGAACACATGAATGAGCGTAAAATTTGCAATGCAGTTGTTTGCGAAAAAGATGTAGATGGTTTTAATGTCTTTAATGTTGGACGCATGTGTCTCGATATGAAGTCAATGATACCGGCCACACCTTTGGGCGTAATTGAACTATTGAGACGTACTAATATTGATACATTCGGCAAGAATGCTGTAGTTGTGGGACGTTCGAAAAACGTCAGTATGCCAATTGCCATGTTAATGCATGCCGATGGTCGTAACGAAACTAATGCCATGGATGCCACTGTAACTATTTGTCATCGTTTTACGCCACCCAAAGAATTGGCTAAATATTGTTCAATGGCCGATATTATAATAACAGCAACTGGTGTACCCGGACTCATAACAAAAGAAATGGTTAAGCCCGGTGCCTGTGTCATTGATGTTGGTATTACACGTATAACTGATAGTAATGGTAAAACTAAGTTGGTAGGAGATGTAGACTATGATGGTTAGTATCATATTTATATTTTTAATTAATTGTTGTATTTATTTTTTATATTTTTATTCCATTTGCAGAAGTTCGCCAAGTAGCTGGTTATATTACACCTGTGCCTGGTGGTGTGGGCCCCATGACTGTCGCTATGTTAATGCTCAATACTGTAACAGCTGCTAAAAACTTGGCCGCTGCATCCAAATAGTTTTATATATAGTTTTGCTGACAAATTAGATAGATGGCTATAGTATTTTTTTCTTTTTAGTTCTTTTTACTTTTTAATCTCATTTCCTATTTTTTTTTTTTTTTTACATTAAATAATTTTCGTTTTTTATTAACGAACATATAATAATAATCATGATGTAATAAGTGCATCCTAATAATAACTAATAATGTATAATGACAAATATTTTAATTTAAATATTTTAATAAAGAAACAATGTAATTGTTAAGTTCGTTTTTCATAACCCAAACAACTCAAATGTTCTAAAACACTACTCTACATCAAAGTTAGTTCGACATATAGAATAATAATAGATAGATAGATAGATAGATAGATAGATAGATAGATAGATAGATAGATAGATAGATAGATAGGATAGATAGATAGATAGATAGATAGATAGATAGATAGATAGATAGATAGATAGATAGATAGATAGATAGATAGATAGATAGATAGATAGATAGATAGATAGATTAGATAGATAGATAGATAGATAGATAGATAGATAGATAGATAGATAGATAGATAGATAGATAGATAGATAGATAGATAGATAGATAGATAGATAGAATAGATAGATAGATAGATAGATAGATAGATAGATAGATAGATAGATAGATAGATAGATAGATAGATAGATAGATAGATAGATAGATAGATAGATAGATAGATAAATAGATAAATAGATAAATAGATAAATAGATAGATAGATAGATAGATAGATAGATAGATAGATAGATAGATAGATAGATAGATAGATAGATAGATAGATAGATATACATTGATAGATAGATAGATAGATAGATAGATAGATAGATAGATAGATAGATAGATAGATAGATAGATAGATAGATAGATAGATAGATAGATGGATAGATAGATAGATAGATAGATAGATAGATAGATAGATAGATAGATAGATAGATAGATAGATAGATAGATAGATAGATAGATAGATAGATAGATAGATAGATAGCATACATGGGAATTTTTCATTAAGCATTAAAATTTCATTACCATTTATAGAAAAAATTGTAATGAAAAATATTTTAAGTACCATTTAATGAAAATTATATTTTTTTCATTATAACTTTTTTTGATAATGGTAATGAATTTGATAATGAATTTTCAAAAACGAATTTAATTAGTATTTATCATACATGGGAGTAGTTAATTATATCGACTAATTAATTGACGATTTCATTAGCATTAAATTGAAAAAATTATAATTATTTTTTTTTTTTCATTAGCATTATTTTGTCTAATGGTAATGGTTTTTAATGAAACGATTTCATTAGTAATTATTTAAAAATAAAGTTTCATTACCATTATTCAAAGGATTTTAAAAATTTTCGAACATTAGTTCGAATTTCGAAATTAATTTCGAATATCCGAACATTATAATGTATTGTCATTAGGTGATATCATGTATGCCAAATTTCAGCACATTCGGACTAGAACTAGTTTTAACAGCTTTAAAAATTTTTCGAACACGAGTTCGAATTTTCGAATTTTTTTTTTTAGGTTTTATGACACAGAGATTAATTTAAAAAGATAAAAAAATTTTCGAAAATAACTTCGAATTTTCGAACTTAATTTCGAATATTCAAACATATTATTGTATTGTCATCAGATGTACTTATGACTGCAAAATTTCAGCCAATTTGGGCTACGGGAACTGGTTTTAAAAGCTTTTAAACCTCGAATCTTCGAAAAATTTTCCTTAATATATTTTACGACAATTATAAGTACTAATTAAATTCGTTTTTGAAAATTCATTATCAAATTCATTACCATTATCAAAAAAAGTTATAATGAAAAAAATATAATTTTCATTAAATGGTACTTAAAATATTTTTCATTACAATTTTTTCTATAAATGGTAATGAAATTTTAATGCTTAATGAAAAATTCCCATGTATGGTATTTATAATTGTCGAAAAATATATTAAGGAAAATTTTTCGAAGATTCGAGGTTTGAAAGCTTTTAAAACCAGTTCCCGTAGCCCAAATTGGCTGAAATTTTGCAGTCATAAGTACATCTGATGACAATACAATAATATGTTCGAATATTCGAAATTAAGTTCGAAAATTCGAAGTTATTTTCGAAATTTTTTTTATGTTTTTAAATTAATCTCTGTGTCATAAAACCTAAAAAAAAAAATTTCGAAAATTCGAACTCGTGTTCGAAAAATTTTTAAAGCTGTTAAAACTAGTTCTTCTAGTCCGAATGTGCTGAAATTTGGCATACATGATTTCACCTAATGACAATACATTATAATGTTCGGATATTCGAAATTAATTTCGAAATTCGAACTAATGTTCGAACATTTTTAAAATCCATTGAATAATGGTAATGAAAATTTATTTTTAAATAATTACTAATGAAATCGTTTCATTAAAAACCATTACCATTAGACAAAATAATGCTAATGAAAAAAAAATAATTATAATTTTTTTCAATGTAATGCTAATGAAATCGTCAATTAATTAGTCGATATAATTAACTACTCCCATGTATGATAGATAGATAGATAGGTAGATAGATAGATAGATAGATAGATAGATAGATAGATAGATAGATAGATAGATAGATAGATAGATAGATAGATAGATAGATAGATAGATAGATAGATAGATAGATAGATAGATAGATAGATAGATAGATAGATAGATAGATAGATAGATAGATAGATAGATAGATAGATAGATAGATAGATGATAGATAGATAGATAGATAGATAGATAGATAGATAGATAGATAGATAGATAGATAGATAGATAGATAGATAGAAGTAGATAGATAGATAGAGATAGATAGATAGATAGATAGATAGATAGATAGATAGATAGAGATAGATAGATAGATAGATATAGATAGATAGATAAATAGATATATAGATAGATCGCTCGCTCGCTCGCTCGCTCGCTCGCTAGCTAGCTCGCTCGCTCGCTCCATAGCTCTATGGCCACTTTCGTATCAAGTGCCCCAACTTAAAAAATCGATTTGGATGAAATTTGCATCAAGGCTAGTACCAAAGAATATTTATTACAAGAATACGCATCTCGACGTGCGGGTAGTTCTGATTTGCACGTATTTATGTATCACAATCCGCTATTGAAAATTTATCTTGTATGAGACGCACATTCTATGTATTCAATATTCTTTGCTAGTAATATTAGATAGTAGGCCAGAGAGAAAATTTTCAGCTCTATCGGTCAAGAACTGCCTGACTTAGAGGGAGACGAAGTTGGACATTTTGGTCATTCAGGGTTTTATTCAAATGAGTGTTACTCTTCACCTATTGGATCTAGCAAAAATTGTCCAAACGAATTCAGATAACTATTTCCTCATTGTTTTTACTTTTTTTATATTTTTTTTAAATAATTTTTTTCAAAAAAACTCCTTTTTTCTTCAAAAGAAAGCTTATACAATTCCCTTTAAGGGCTTTATAGTTCCATAATGAGATGCGAATGGGATATCTATCAAAAAATTATTTTTTAACTCAAGAATAAGATTTTTTTAATATTTTGCACTTCATTTTCCCCTATTTTTTCAAAATGGACGTTTTTGTACGTTCTGTATGACCATAATGTCCAACTTTGACCCCTTCTAAGTCCGGCACTAGTACTAACCTTGGTGCAAATTTTATCCAAAGACATCGATTTTAAAAGTTGGGTTACTTGACACGAAATTGCCCATATAGGAACCATAATATATAACCTTTATAGGGTCGCAAATTAACAAATTTATAAAGTTCTCTTTGAATAATTGAGGAATGAAAAAACCAATTGGAAAGACTTTAACAGAAAAGTTTTACTGCAGATTTTTAAAATAATATCAACATATTTACATCCAAATGTAAATATTCAATGTAAATATTCAATATTACATACCTTAAATTTATTTCATTTCTTTAATAGACTTGATTAACAACAATTATTTAACGTTTAATGCCAAATGTTTGAAATGTGTAATTTTCTATTGGGCGCATTTCACTAAAAACTGCCTTGTCGATACGAGAACTTGGACTACCTTTGTTTTGTAGCCAATATTTCCTGTAATAAAATAAAATTATTATTTAATAATCATGCACATTAAATAACCAAATTATAAATTCTACACCAACATTTCGTTCAATTCATTTTGAGGACCTTCCAATTGACCTTTAACTGTGCCATCTGCGGTATTCATACACCAGCCTCTTAGATCAAGTTGTTTAGCTTGTTTTTCTGTATATTTTCGGAAAAATACACCTTGTACTTTGCCAAAAACTTCAAAATCCAAAGCAAATAACTTTTTCACCGACATGCTCTTCGTTTGTTTTGATTTGTTAATTATTTTTGAACGTTGTTAAAAGTAGTGCTGTTAATTTAGCTATTTTTTTAGTTTTAGGAAATTCGCGCTTCCAATTGTTTATGTCAAAAACATTAGGATAAAAACTTACATAAAATTATTTTTGGGAGTACAAGGCTATTTTTAATATTAAATATCTATGACCATGTCTATGACTATATGCTATGTTTTATTATTTTTTAACATTGATTTGTTGTACATTTTGCTAAATATTGCTGTGAAAAAAGTTAGCAACACTTACCTTAACAATTTATTTTTATTAAGTGTTGGAAAGTGTAAAAATGTCATTAATACACAAAAATACAACCCTGTTTTACTACTCGTTAATGTAAGTAGCAATATTCGCTACATTTATAATAAACTAGTACGTACTGTACCAGTCGTATTTTTCTTTCGGCGCAGAAAATATATTAATTCCATAAAATATTTTTTGTTAAAGCAAATTAAGACCGCCATTAATAGCAAACGAAATTTAATATCGTAAAAAAGTGTAATTATCTCTCAAACGTAAACATTTACAACGTTTTGATTAAATAAAATTAAAATTAGCTGAACTCGATAAAAAGGGCAATTGGGATAGAAATTATTCACGTTGGAAAACGTTTTTCGCCCATTTTTTCTATAATCGTGCATACTCGTTCTTTGCAATCGTCTACTGCTGTGTGTGAAGAAGAAAAGAAGCAGCAAAAACGGCAGCCATACCTAAAAAAATTCAAAAAAAAAAAAATTACGTGTATTTAAAGAAAAAAATCTGGGGAAAAAAGTTAGCATAAAAAATAGATATTTTATAAAAATATATTGATAATAATATAAAATCTCAAAAAAGCTGGACAAGATTTAAAACAATAATTTACTCTGATTTTCTAGACAAGACATGGCAATTACTTAAGAGTAAGAGGAAGCACGCAATATTTCAGAATTGTGAAAAAAAGTAGTAATCGTTATAATACGTTTTACACTTTATATACCTACACAGTAATATATACATACATACATATATATGTATGTATATAATTATATACATATATATTTAAAAAAAAAAGAATAAATAGTGATTTAAAAAATTCATGGAAGACGGGAGCGCGCGAGTGTTTTTAAAGTAATATTTAAATAAAGAAAAAATATTAATTTAAAAAAATTATATAAAATTAAAAGAAAAAAAACTTTAAAAAAGTAGTAGTTTTAACCAATTTCTTTGTGTTTTTTTTAACTTATGGTGAAATTAAAACTTCCTTAATAGCGCCTAATAAAAGTGAAGACAAGAAAGAAAAAACGAGCTTAATTTTTTCTACTAATTTTAATATAAAAAAAGAAAAAAAGCGAGTATCAAAATATATACGAACGTGCATACCTACAAATATACAAAGAATTTTTTTGTTATTGGCTACTACGTTTTTAAACAACGGTGTCGTGTAATTTTTTTCCAAATATTTTACAAAATCTCTTAAAATACTATATAACAATAAATAATTTGCTATAAATTAATATAAATTCAATATTATATTCATACAAAGGTTAGTATTGAAAATTTTATGAATAAATTTTATTTTTAAAGTTTGTGCAGTAATTCGTTAATTAATTTGTTTGTACCACATGGTTGTATTAGTATGGGAGTTATATGTACATTTTTTTGTTTTTATTTTATGTAAAACATTTTTTTATCGGTTTAACAAAAAGCAACGAGTTAAGATTAAATTAATAGTGAATAAATGAAAAAAATTAAAATATCTAATACAGTGATAAGAAAATTATATTGTTTGTAACAAATTCATTGTATACAAATCTAAAAGAAATTGCAATTTGTATATTATTTGAATTAGTTGTACATAGGCCTATTATAAGAGGTTTCCTAAAATATTTAAGGATTTCATCAGACTGTGTTGTTGATTATCCTTAGGATTAGTTAACAACTAAGTTTTGTATTTTTGGCTGTGCAAAATCTTATATGCCCTTCGCCATGCCTAGTATATTTAAAAAAACACACAGTACGTATTTTATAACAAAAAAATAAGAATACCAGTTGGAAAACAGTACCAGAATAAGGATGGCGCGTGTTTAATTCTATGTTTCCAGGTTTAATATTAAAAAAAATCAAAAAGTACTAATTGAAGAACGAAAAAGTACCATAAAGTTTACTCATAAAATTTCACTCCATCAGGATCTTATATGTATGATTCTAGATTCTATAATTCAGAAAATCGAAAAAGTACCATTTGAGTGATGAAACTCTCCTTTTATAAATGTTACTTCTATCAGTATGCTGCGTGTTTGATTTTGCGTTTTTTAGTTTCAATATTATAAAAGATTCAAAAAGTACCAGTTGAAGAGTAAAAAATATCAAAAAATTCACTCAAATATTTTTATTCCCTCAGGATATGTGTCTGAATATATGTTTCTAGGTTCAATATTGCATTAAACCAAAAAGTACCATTTGAATGAGAAAAAATACCAGAAAATCCCTATTTATAAATTTTTATTAGATCAGTATACCTACTACATGTTTAATTTTACGTTTATAGGTTCAATATTATAAAGGATTAAAAAGTATCAGTTGTAAACAAAAGGTACCAAAAGATTTACTCTTATAGATCATTCATTGCATCATATTAGAAATATTGTTTACATTTTTTGTTTTAAAGGTCTGTTATAAAAGATTTCCTAAAATATTTAAGGATCGATCGATCTCACACCGAAAATAATAGACATTTTTGAAATTTGATAAATCTATATAAAAGAATTTAGTATCAAACATGTTTTGTAGCACTCAGTTCGGATAACGCTAATATGTGTTCCTGTACATACATAATAATTGAGAGGGTAACCTGTATAGCCGATGAAGTAGCCAACTGGCTGAGGAGAGGATGAAAATTATATTTTTCTTACAAACTATATGAATTTATCGAGACGACTATCTTGTAAAATTTACTGAAAGTAATTTACAAATTTGATACCCCATTGGGGTATTATTTGTAACTAGTACCAAGGACTATTTTTGATACTCTTTCGCTATTTATCTGGTACTTTTGGAGCTTTCTATATAGAAATAATATACAATATTGAACCTAGAAATGTGAAATTAAGCATGTAGAGCCCAGAGTGAATTCATTCAGAGTCCTGAGTAAATCTACATACATATAAGAGAAAACTTTTTGGCACTTTTTCGTTCTTCAACTGGTACTTTTTGAATTATTTTTTTAAAAAATTAAACCTGGAAACATAGAATTAAACATGCGGTTTCCGGATGGAATGAAAATATAAATAGTGACTTTCTGGTACTTTTTAGATTTTTGAATAATACTTTTTTTCCTGCTTAACATAAAATCAGACAAATATGTATGTCTGATAATTAAATGAGAATTTATGAAAGAATGAACTTTTTGGTATTTTATCGTTTATATCGGACAAAACGCGTATGAGAATTACAAATTATTATGTAATATATCTTAATAGTTTCTCTTTATTATAAGGATATTGCAGATATATTGAGAATTTATAATAATTTTACTGTTTATTTATATAGTATGGGTTTTTTATAGGAAATATATGAAATATGTATAGGAAAAAACAATGTATATGAGATATTGGTCATGTGGTTAACAGTCCGCTGCGCTGAGTTACAATATCCTAGTATTTCCACAACTTTCTGAAGTCATCTGATGACATAGAAAACTTGTATGTAATACGATTTACATTTTTTGTACAATTTTAGCTTAATATTTCCGTTAATCCTAATGAATATCGTTTTGAATATAACAAAAAACGATTTAAAAATAAACGATAACCGAGAAAAAAAGATGGAAATTTGATTTTAAATGCAGCAGTGTTCAACAATATGGCGCCAGCTCTTACAGAGCCATTAAGTCCAACCGAAAATTTAAATAGTTCAGCGGTAACGGCAACAACTACACCAACGACAAGATCTAGCAGAAAATTTGACTCTTCGAATGTCAATAAAAGTGGCATTAATAACAGTAATATTCTTAACACACCCACAAATAATATTGTCGTAAAATCTGCATCAACAGTACGCGAGAAGCGTAATCGCAGCGGTGGAATTATAATAAATCAAACACCAACATCTTCAAAGCGTATAACACGTTCGAGAGATAATCAACAGCGCAATTTGGTGGTCACACCATCCGCCTCCTTAAACGGAGAAAATACAAGTGAAACGCCACAAAATACAAAGCCACCAACAACGAGAAGAATTTCTAAGGTGTTAAGTGTTCAAGAAATTGACACTACAGTCATCAATTCCATCAGTAACAACAACAGCTCGAGTACAAAGAATGAGCAAATGGGCTTAAGCACAGCCCCGTTAAATACTAAAAATAAGATTCTCAGCAATAACAACAATAATACTAGCCAAAATTTGGATACGTTAGTAGACGATAGTAACACAAAAGATACATCGACCGCACAGTTGTTGGCCGATTTGACAAACGAGGCCATAACAGCCGAAATTTGTTTACGCAATCAACTGAAAGACGTTAATTTAGTGAAGACTGCTGGTGATCCATCATCGCCCATCATACAACAGGATACATTTGTCGATACCGAAAAAGATATTGTCGTTTTAAAAGTCGCATCTCCTACAATAGCTGCTGCGCCCGAGGTAAATAAAACAACTACTGCGCACATGGAGACGCAGTTTACTGAATCGCCAAAGTCGTCAAACGTACAAGAAACAAGTGAAGTTAAAGAACCCACTTCAACAACAGCAATAGCGGTAGAAGAATTTCTTCTTGACTCTCAGAAGAATAACAATAATAGTCCGCAAGAAGAAAAAGTAGAACAAGAAGTTAAGGCGGAGGAAGAAGCAGCTGATGAAAGGAAGTATGATAAAAGCGAGCACAAAGAAGAAAAATCACTTGATGCCATTGCTACTGAAGGTTATTTGGACACCGCAAACGTGCATGAAACCCCAGTCGGTTCACCAAATTCATCTGATGATGCTGCGGAGACGAAGAAACCTAGCTCAAAGCTTGAGATTTTGTCGGTACAAGAATTGCCACCAGTTAGTACAGATTCAACGATGACTGCTTCGGAAGTTGAAGATAATTTGGAAGGTAATGGTCAACTTATCGGATATCATTGAAATTATTCATGAGTTTTAGCAAAATATTTTAATATTTTATATTACTTACTTACTTACTTACTTACT